CCATGCACCGCGTGAGCCGGTTGTTAGCCCAGACCTTCCCGTCTTGCCACCACAAGTACGGAGAGATAATGGTATGCGGGGCAGACTGGCGAAGGAAGACCTGGCGGAGCGGGATGACAACCACCAAGTAGTCGAGCAAGAGGTCTCCAACGGGTGCAGGTAAGAACCGGATATTATCCTTAAACTTGCCCGTCTGCTGCTGACCTTTGTAGTATGTAGTGTATAGTATAACTAGCCCGTGCTTAAGGTAGACGTTTCGCCGCCGCTAGGTGTTACGCTAGGTAACGGAGAATAGTTCACTCTTGCGCAGAGGCTAGCCAGAACCCATGTAGATTAAGACTAAGAGCCTTTTTAGGAACTCGTTAGCTATAGCCTCATACTGCTCAATCGCCTTCCCTCGCCAGACCTTAGTGCCATCCGTAGTGGCATCCAGGAACGAGTCCCGCAACGGCTTCGAGTCTTGGATAATGGTTAGTAAAGACCTCACCAGCGGCTTTACTAGCTCAACGTTCTCCCGGTGCTAGCTAAAGAACCAGCCAAAGGCATCAGCGTCTAAGTTGTCCTTTAAAGCCCAAGTACGCATCCGCAGGAGGTTCTAGGCCCCGAATATTAGCTCGTCGTAGAGTAGGTACTGGGCCTGCTGGAAGTCGGAGAGTAAGAGCCGCGGCACGTGATCTATATGCAAATCAACGTCCCGGTAGGTTAGAACCTTCTCGTCTACATCCCACTGTGCTTGGTGCGGCCCAACGACCTCCTTTAAGACAGTAAACAGTAGTAAGCGCCAGCCGAGGATCTCGCCTATAGGAGTCTCGGTGTCCTGCTTCAAGAACCGCCCGCAATACTGCTCAATGCGCTCGAGTGTATCACCTAGCTCCGCCTTCTCCAGACAGGCGCTAGCGTGAAAGATAATGAGCTGCGCAACCCAGATCACACCAGACAAGCAGCTATTATAGTTACCCGGCTCCTTCCAAGTCTTGGTGTGTGGCTTGACGCTGAGCATAGCGCAGAAGCTGAGCAGTGGGGAGTTGTACCGATTGCCTCCAAATTCGTGGCAGATCAGCGCCATTGAGAGGACGGATATAGCATCTCTCAGCGCAGGCCGGTCCTGCTCGACAGCACTTTGGAAGGCCGCTTCCCACGCCTTCTCCTGGGCATCCGTGAGCTGGATGCAGCTCTCAGGGGTCCGCTGGTCGTCGTCGGCCGTGGTGAAGTGGCTGCCGCGGTAGACGACCCGGTAGCAGAACGTCAGGAACTGCTTCCAGTAGCCGAAGTTGGTCTTGAGCGTATTAGGCTCCTTCTTGGGGTCGAAGGCGCGTATCTTCTGCCCCGGGGCAGCGCCAGTATGGAAACGGCTCAACGCTAGCTGCCGTGGCCAGGTCAGCATACAGTCTGGGCCGTCGAAGCACCAGCTATGTGCCTCTGAGAAGATTTCGTCTATGACCTCCAGCATTAAGAATAGCTCGGGCTCGCTCTCGGCATTCTTTGGCACCGCAAAAGAGGTGTGCATCTCGTCCTTCTTCAAGCCCCGCGTGTGCTCCTCGATGCCCGTCCGTCGAAGCCACGGCACCACAGCAGATTTATAGCTACCGAAGCCATGAACGGTATTAGCTTCTGCTTTGGCATCCTCACCTATAATAGCTGCGTCCTCATCAAGCTACATAAAGAAGTCTGCCTCCCTCGAATCCAAGCCAGCTATAAAAGAGCATTCGGAGCTCCCTCTAGTAGCTGCTTCTCCCTCCTCTACCACGAAATACCGAACCCAGCGGTTCTTAGCAAAGAAAGTCTGAAGCTTGCACCCCCGCCACAGAGGGCTCTTCTCATACAACGCTGGCTTTTGCTGGTGGGCTTTCGACACGTGCCGTTGCATCGACTTGCAATCCCTTGTGAGGTGGGCTGAGCAGGTCAGGCACTAGAAGCCGTCGAGGAGCCTTAGCCCCGGGATGGCCTTCGCTAGCAGCCGCGCTAGCTCTGCCTCTGCCGCCCGTAGGTCGTAGCTGCTAAACAGCTCCACGAGAGCCTTCAATGACGCCCCTTTCAAGCAGTGCGGGTGCTGCCTCAGGTGTCGAACCCAGACGTCACGTCCAGGCCGGAGGCAGTAGCCGCAAGACGTACAGAGCAGCACCTGCCACTCCGACAAGTAAATAAAAGGGTCACCCATGGCCCCCGATGGTCAGATCTCCCCCCTCTGCTCGCTAGTAGCCGTAGAGGGGACTCCCCCAGCGCTAGGACCATTCTGGATTTATGGTGCAGGATTTATAGTGAACTGGTCTGTGCCCTCCCCCTGATCCAGGGTCATTTCGCCTACGGATTCTGGATTTACGCCGCAAATCCGCCCATTTCTAGAGGTAGTACTTCCTCAGGGCCGGTGAAGGCCACTTGGGCTGGCACTGCCAACTCAAACCTTAAGTCTAGAGGCCGGGCTTCATGGTGAGGCTCTTTACAAACCTGGCACACTTCCTCCCCTAGCATACACCACCGCTAATGCGGCTGGTCATCGAGGAACTGGCTAAGGACGCTACGGGAGCAGTACTACTGGGTTAGGTACAGCTGTATGGCCGCCTCATCTGGGGACAGGCCCTGCTCGAGCCGCGGTTTCCACGTAGCGCTGAGTATGACAATAGAAGAGGCCTTACTACCATCCCGGCCAGCTCTGCCCGATTCTTAAGAGAAGGAAGTGGCCTTGTTAGGCGCATCGACATAGATCACCCAACGGATGTAGGGGTAATCAAACCCGATTCTAAGAGCAGACGTAGCTGCAATCACGGGCTAATCCCTATTACTAAGCTAGCCGGCGATAATAGCAGCCTTCTCCTCCTCGGTTCCCGATTTGGACGTATACGTAGGGCAGTGGAGGATCTCAGCTAGCTAGGCTACCTCCTCCCGAGTCCGGCAATAGATAATGATCTTGTCTCGAGCGTGGGTGAAGATCTCTTGTATAGGCCAGTACGCCTAGACCAAATTGGTAGCTCTCTCGATTAGAGCACTAGGCCCGGTCTCGAAGCTGACTATGTACTTGATATTGGGCCGATTAGTCGAATTCCGGATAATTCTGGGCTTCACAAGCTTATTGTGCTCGATAAACTCCTCTTGCATTACAGGAGGGAGGGTTACAGTCAGCCAGACCGTCTGCGTCCTGACCTGCCGGACGTACCAGCCTAGCTGGGCCATACAAGGCCGGTAGTCGCTAGCGGTAATAGTAAGATAACTCTCGTCAATCACAATGTGGTCTAGCTACTGCCGACTGACTAAGAGGTGGCAGTACTCTAAGAAGCCTTGAGTACACACAGCTTCGGCTGATACGATGACTAGGGAAGCTGATTGCTTGCACTCAATAGACCAGACTAAGGGCCGGATGCCCACTTTATGAAACCGCCTGAGTATATCACCCCGCAGAGCCACCATGGGCAGAACTAGGACCGTGGTCCCCGCATCTGCAGCGGTAGCACTAGTCATAATAGGCAACGTCTTACTAGAGCCGGTTCCTATTACCAGAACCACTTGCTCGGCTGGCTAAGGCCCCATGATGATAAGCACGCTATTCCGCTGGCCGGGGACCCGGAATTGCAAGTCGGGCTTATTGTACAGCTTCCGTACTACGGCCAGTAAGTTAGTCTCAGAGTAAGCACCCTTCTGGCGATGCTAACCACGCTTGGAAGCATCTAGCATTCGTAGTAAGAGCGTCTCCGAAGCCCCTTGAGGCCGCTTTCTCTAGAGGAGATGATCAAACCGAAAGAACGTCCGCTAGCTCTCAGACGCCCGGTAACTGCGGTGTAGTAGGGCACTTATAGTTAGTGTGGTCGTGCTAGTATAGGCATGATTAAACGTATGGTAGCTGTAGTTGCTGAGCTTAGCCAAGGCCACAAGATCCAGCTCGTTCTCGATCTCCTCTCCTATGCCATCTTTAAGCTCGAAATCGGCCCGCTCTTTAGCTGAGAACTTCTCCTTTGTGATCGATACTGCCATCTGCCGCCAGTTAGAGCTGTAGAGTGCTAGCACCTGGGTACGGGTGCAAGCCTTACGTAAGCAGGCTAACAAAGCCTCGTCCGTCCAGACGCTCCCATCAAGCTTGGCCTAGAAGTAGGGAGAGAGTAGGGTACCGGGCTTCTGTTAGCAGAGGAAGAGCTGTCGTAGAGGCAAAACGTAGGCGATGTATATAAGGAGCAGATCGCTAATGGCCTTAGGCAAGAAGCGGATGTTGTCCTTGTAGGCGCCTGACTGTTGCTGGCTCTTATGGTATTACGTATAGATCATAACTAGCTTCTCCCAAATGAACAAGTGGCGCTAGCGAGTTGTATTGCGCTACGTAACTAATAGCAGCTCTGGGGCCCGCAGCGGGGGGCTAGGTGCAATGTGGCAGAGGACTAATAGCCGCTTAAGGAAGTCCTAAGCGTGTGCCTCGTAGATGGCTATAGCTGTAGGGTTGAGAGCTTTGCATCTACCGTCCCCATTAGCTAAGAATATAGCCCGAAGCTTAGTGCTGCCTTAGATCCGCTGGAGCAGAGCTTGCTCAGCACCCTCTAAGAACTCGGTATTGTGGGCATGCGAGAGCCAAGAGCCGCCAAAATCGTCCAGGTCTAAGTCGTCCTTCAGCCTCCACGATTCCATGGGCGTTAAGTCTCGGGCACCAAACATTAGCTCATCGTGGAGCAGAGAGTAGGCTTGCTAGTACTCAGACAGGACCAGCTGCGAGATCTGGGCCATCTGCAGCTCCACTCCTCGGTATCCGACTATCTGACCGTCCAAGGACCACCGGGCCTGGTGCTTAGCAATAGCAGCTTTGCCCACCTTAAAGAGGTAGAGCCGCCACTACAAGATGTGGCCAAAGGGCGTCTCGGCTAGCTACTAGAAGAACTTCTTGCAGATCTTAGCTAAGAAAATAGGAATCTGGTCCTCATCTTCTTGCTCTTGAAAGCAGGCATAGTCGAAGAGCACCATCTGAGCCGTCCAGGTCAAGGCAGACAAGTGGCTATTGTAGTTGCCCGGCTCTATCCACTGGCCCTAGCCTACCCCACTACCCCGCACTTTGCGACTAAGCATAGCACAGAAGCTGAGCACTGGGGACTTGAAGGGCACGCTCCCAACCGTCTGACAGATCAGGGCGAGGTAGAGCCGTCGAATGGCATGCTTGAGCGCCAGCGTAGCCTCTTCCTCATCCTCAAGAGCTAGGGCTTCTATGATCTCGTCCATGGCCTGGACCTGCTGAGCAGTAGGCTAGATAACGTCTTGGGGCAGCTTCTGGTCTGGCTGAGTCCGCGTAAAGTGGCCCTCCTCACAGTACACGACCCGGTAGTAGTACGCCAGCAGCTGCTTCGTAGTGGTAAAGTACTTAGTCAGCGTCGACGCGTTCTTGTAGTACCGGAACCCGTCTGCCCTTCCTGATGCCCCGGCGTAGAATTCGTTCAGGATATTGGCCCGCTGCTGTGTCATTTTCCGGTCTGGCGAGGTGTCGCTACAGAGCTAGTACGCGTCTCTTAAAATAGCCTCAGCTACAACTAGAATTCGAACGAGATTAGGATCCTTAGTATCCTTAGCACCGGCATCCAGCACCTTCTTTGGCGGCAGGGCGTACGAGCTCTTAATCTCGTCGTCCTTCAGCCTAACTAAGTGAGATGGAAAGTCCGTCCGCTCGAGCCACGGAACCCTCTCTGATCGAGAATCCCCGAAGTCATAGACAATGCTAGCTTACTCCTCCAAATCACGTGCTACATCTTTATAGTCCCTTTCTAGCTTCTTAAATAGCTCTTGTTCGGGTTGTGTTAGCGGAAGGGAAGAGCCCTGGCGTATAACGCTAGCTTGAGGATTCTCTACGACTACAAAGTAATCGATCCGCCTAAACGCAGTAAAGTATATCTGAAGCTTAACTGTCCTCCATTGTACAAACGAATTATAAACAGTAGCCTTGATTTAATGTACAAAAGACGTATGTTTTCTGATTTTACGGGCATAGCGGGTCCCGTACTAACATTCTGGCTACAGGCAATAAAACCCATCGTATACTGCGAGATGATCGATCACTTGGCATTCATCCTCGGCTTGAGGCTTACACTGTTTCAGCTCCTCGAGGGTTCTAAGGCTGTAAGTACTAAACAATTCAAGCGTCGTCTTTAGCTCCGCGCCTAATAGTCGGTGTAGTTCTGCTCGTAAGTGATATTCTTGACTTCGACTGCCTAGAACAATACAAGAATGACAAATACGACATACAACTACTTGGTGAACTGAGTTGTAAGAAAAGACGCTCATATTTAAAGGTTCGGGGGAGGTGTAAGGAACTTAGGGAGGGCTAGGGTAAGTGAACCCTCACCCGAAGAACTCTGAATCAAAAGCTGCTTAATCAGCAACACACGGGCCAACCATCCACCCCGCCACCTGAACTCTGAATCAAAGACTCGCCCCGCATAGGGGGTAGGGGTTAACCCGGATTTCCTAACTCTATATAACCCTTTATAAATATTATTTAACCTTTACAACGCCTTCTCTTTTCTTAAAAAACTCTTTAACCCTAATTATCTCCTTTATATACCGATTCTATTTCTTCTTTTCTACCCTTCTAACCTAACCGCTAATCGGTAAAACACTTGTAATAAAATACTTGCTTCGACTAACCCCCAAACTACCCTCCGCCCAAACCATACTAATATCCCCTTCTTAACTTCGGCTTCCTTACTTGCCTTTAACTTCTCATTAGCCCC